TATATAAAGTGAATATAGAAGCCCTCTAGACTTTTTTTCTGATCATGAAAACATAGTGAATGCAGTCGAATATCAAGGTGTGTTGTGTGTTGAGCAATGAGTGGAACCTAGAAACACCTGAATTTATATTTTGCCACTTCAGAGTTACTTTATGTTTTTTTTCGTGTATGTTTTTTTTCTGTTTATTATAATGAGCAGGTGAAAACTGTTAATTTATCTCCTGGTGGCAGCTATAATTATTTAAAATCACAATGCAGCCTAGATTTTTTGGATTCATATGGCCCAAGTGAATTCCCTAAACCTTTGCGTGATTTTTAAGATACGAAAATTTGCCATCTTTGATGTTGAACCAATCAGAAAGCAATAACATTTCATTTTGCAACAAAACAAGCGATCGTAGAGGCTCTCGGTTGTAAGTGGGTCTTTAAGTAGTCAAAAAAGCATTGATGTTCCAACCCTTCATCACTCCTCCATATAGTACACCCCAAACGTCCGAAGCGTCAGTAAGTTACTTCACCTACTTTTTTATGGTGTTAAATTTATCTTTTTACAGAACTGTTTCTTTAGAACACTGACGCAGCTCACTCACACTAGTTTACCACTAGTTCCCACCATATTTGTTCATTTGTTTTCAACAGATATGGATCGATGGCTCTGATTCTTGCTCTGATTCTAGTCACTGCTGCAAGTACCGTCAGCGCCACTGTTACAGGTACACTAATGTAAAATTACATTGACACCTTTACCTTGTGKTCACCGAAGGATTGTCCAGTAATCTGTAGTGTGACTGTTGCCCGTAATGTAGAGGTTTCAAAGCCTCTAACCTCCCCCGCAGGCAAGACTTCCCAGTCATATTGAGGAAGACAGGAAGCCCAAAAGTAGAAAGAAGGMCTGCGGAGGAGGCTTGTCAAACCTCTATCTTGCGGTCACTAACGAGTTGTCCTGTAATGTAGGAATGCCCGTTATGTAGAGGTGTCCGTGCGTTGGTGTTTCTAAAGAAATTAACACACCATGCATACTTGTTAAAAGATAATTGACGATTGGGACGTAGTTCCTTCGTTGGCGTAATAGACGTGAAGAGTCTCCTTCACGGTTCCCTGCGGCATCTTGAAAGGTAGSCGTGCCTTTGAATCGAAGCGAGACAACCGTTGAGCATGCAATGATAGAAACCTTCTTTTACACCCAAAGACAATTATTTACAGGTATCTATCATTGCACGCTGAACGGTCGTCTCGCTGCGATGTAAAGGCACGGCTACCTTTCAAGATGGCGCAGGTAACCGTGAAGGAGACTATTACAGTAGAGSTTTCCGTGGTATAGAGGTGTATGTGATATAGAAGTGTCGGCCATGATATTGAGGTGTCTGTAATRTAAAGGTGCTCCTAATATATAAGTTAATCATATAATTATCTGTGAAATACCTATATTTCTCCATTACGTAAAATCAATTATTTTCTTAGTGTATTAGGAATATACTGTATAATTGCAACCGTTTATGTTGATGTAAGTGTGTTCGTCCGGGTGTAAGAGGTATTGAGGAAGACTGTTATAGTCATACGACATAGGTAACTTTAACAATCTTTCCCCCCCGGGGGGAGGGGTCTCCCTGATACAAAAGGGCGGGGGGCCTTGTCGTCCATTTTAGGGTTTGAAATCAGTGTTTTGGTCCCGCTTAGGGTGATAAAGACGAGAATTCCCACCAACTGAGTTTTGTGGTCACTTTTAGGGTATATGGCGACCATAACCCGTCATTCAGATCAAAAACAGTCATAACTGCTAATTAGATGATTGATCTCAATACGAGCCGACGGCGTTTGATGCTTGTGCAAAAACACAAATAAAATCGGGAAACCAAAAGAAACGACCTGTTATTGATTGGTTCCTCTTAGGGTGAAATTTCAGCACTGCCACGTCCATCATCTCACAATACAGGTCCCTTTTAGGGGTCATTTTAAGAATTTCCGACGAGGACCCCCGCCCTTTTATATTAGGGAGTCTCCCCCCCGGAATCTTTCTCAAGACTTCTCACACCCGGACGATCATACCACACCTACATTGCTTAAACCTGGGCTCAGACCATTCAATCTCACACGTTCATATCGACTCGTAGGAAACTACAGCTGTAATTTTGATGGAGTGTTATGYGGTTGGTCACATGATGTTAGTCTACCAATCAAATGGACAATGCAGAAGGGAAGAACACTTAGTAGAGCTACAGGACCACATACGGATGCATCAGGTTAGCCTATAATAAGATCCTGCTTTGAAAACCCACAAACCTTAGTGAGCACTTATTTTCACACACTTTTTAATATGCACCTAATTGAAAAACGTTGTCGTGTCCAAAAAATCAAATCTTAGAAGCTAAGACCGAAAGGGTATTTGGGAAGACAAACAATTTGGCTAATTTCATAACAAACAGCTCTCCAGCATAAAAGACTATCATGCTGTTAATCTTACTAGCTCTACTTGCTTAGTGTACACCGTATATGCAAATGTAATCCCAATTTAGTGGTACTCAAAATCCCTTTCGGTTTTAGCTTCTATGATGTGACCTTTTCGAACACGACTACGTTTTTTCAATTAGGTGTATACAATATTACAATATAAATCATGGAACAAATAGAGTACAGCTATTATGGATGAATAATTAATTGGAGTTTGGGGTGTGACCAGAGGCTATGTAAACTAACAAGTTGTTGTGATTTCCTATATATTTTGTTTTGAAAACGATCTGTTATAAAGAAGCGTTCATATTGTATTCAAATCTATTCCGCTAGCTCGCGAAATGATCGATAATCTTCACCAAAAAAGGTTAAAACAACACAAGATGGCGATTTTCCGGATAAAGGCTCTCGGTYGAGTTTCTATAAATTTCATTATTTCGAAATCACTGATGTGGGAGGATCTCAATGGGGTTAACCGTGGCATTTGAGAGTGATGATAAAAAGTACTCTCAACTCACTCATAACTGGGTGTCTATAACGTACATGGGACACTCTGGTCCCACACTCACTATCTCTAGCACAAAACAAATTACATGAAAAAGTAATGAAAAACGTTGTTTTCATTTCAAAAATCTCTGAAAATAATCTAGTTCACCGTGATTCGAAAAAAATAATCGTGAGTCGTGAAATAGCCAAATTTTTAGCCGTGCGTCGTGATGCGTACCACCCCATTGAGACCCTCACGTAGTTTAGGCCAATAAAGCTAGAAATAATCACAAACGTAGGAATATGTGATTTTTTAAGGTTCVGGACAATACCTTTATGTCGAAGCAAGTAGACGTCCAGCCGGAACTAAAGCTGGTCTCATCAGCCCCACCATACAAGGGCCGCATTGCATGACCTTTATGTATCACATGTACGGAGGAACTATGGGAAGTGTCATCGTATACACCAACACAACTACATCTCAGAGACTTGTCTGGATTAAGTCAAGATCTCAAACCAACCAATGGTTGAAAGCTATTGTACAACTGAATGAGACACAGGAGTAT